TTGTGCTACGGTTGACCAAAAATCACTGAAAAAAGAAAAAAATAAACAGTACGAAAACAATATGACTCCCGCTTACGCTTAGCATGCGGGGGTCATAAGGCTCAAAAAAAGTCAAAAACTCATGGCAGGCTGAGGAAGGCTGAGGCAGAGGGCCAAGGCCTGCAGCCAGTCTCACCTGCAACCAGTTGAGTGCAATCAGCACCAACTAAAGGTGAGCAGAGGAGGAAGGAGAAGCCAAAATGAAAGTGCTTACAGACCAGCCCTATTTATAGGCAGGCAGCGCAGCTTATCAATCAGAGCCTTCAGGGAATAAAATGTTTTAATTACAAAAAGTAACTAATTCTAAAAATACAATATTTCCTCTAAAAAAACCCAAAGGAAAAATAACCCAACTATTAACTAAAACAATCTGGAAAAAAGCAGAAATATTAGTAAAAATGTGCCCGAAGCACATAACACCCCCACCCAGAGACACTTAAAAGGGATTGATAGTCAACAAGAATTTGCTCATGAACCCATTCAGAGAAAATAGAGGGAAGAAAAACAGAGAAAAAAAGTTTACTGAAGTCATCAAGTTGAGAATGGTTTTGATTTGTATGCAGTAAAACTAGTTTCTCTCACAAGGCAGTTTAAACATGCCCAGACACGTATACACCCAACGAGGATCTTGACACTGCTGCAATGCACACATACATAACGTGTGATCTACACAAGATGGAGCACAACAGCCACAAACCAAAAGGATTTGAGTCACTAAGCATCACCCAGAAGTAGCAACTTCATTCAAACATGGTCTGTTGTCCCCAACACAAATYGTCACAAAGTGGTACCAAACCACAAGTTACTAAAAACACAAGCCACTGCAACATTACAGTCATATGAAAAAGTTTGGGCACCCTTGTTAATTTTCCTGATTTACCTTTATAAATCATTGATTGTTTGGATTAAAAATATCAGCTAAATAAATCATATAAGGGACAAACACAGTGATATTTGAGAAGTGAAATGAAGTTGAGATGATTTACAGAAAGTGTGCAACAATTGCTTAAACAAAATTAGGCAGGTGCATAAATTTGGGCACCATAAAAAAATAACTTTACCTCAATATGTAGTAGCTCCTCCTTTCACAGAAACAACAGCCTCTAAACACTTCCTATAGTAATAATGAGAGTCTYGATTGTGGCTGAAGGTATTTTAGACCATTCTTTACAAAACATCTCTAGTTCATTCAGGTTTGATGGTTTCTGAGCATGGACAGCTCTCTTTAAGTGACACCACAGATTTTCAATAATATTCAGGTCTGGGGACTGAGATGGTCATTCCAGAATGTTGTACTTGTTCCTCTGCATGGATGCCTTAGTAGATTTTGAGCAGTGTTTAGGGTGGTTGTCTTGTTAAGATGCAGCCCCGGCTTCAGCAGCTTCAGCTTTGTCACTAATTCCTGGACACTGGTCTCCAGAATCTGCTGATATTGGTTGGAATCCATGCGTCCTTCAACTTTAACAAGATTCCCAGTCCCTGTACTGGCCATACAGCCCCACAGCATGATGGAACCACCCCCACATTTTACTGTAGGTAGCAGGTGTTTTTCTTGGAGTGCTGTGTTCTTTTTCCTCCATGCATAACGGCCCGTGTTCTGCCCAAATAACTCTATTTTAGTTTTATCAGTCCACAGCACCTTATTCCAAAATGGAGCTGGCTTGTCCAAATGTGCTTTAGCAAACCTCAAGCAGCTCTGTTTGTGATGTGGGGAGAGAAAAGGCTTTTTCTGCATCTCTCTCACATACAGCATCTCCTTGTGTAAAGTGTGCTGAATAGTTGAACGATGCACAGTGACTCCATCAGCAGCAAGATGATGTTGTAGGTCTTTGGTGCTGGTCTGTGGGTTAACTCTGACTGTTCTCAACATCCTTCACTTCTGTTTATTGGAGATTTGTCTTGGTCTGCCACTTTGATCCTTGACTTGAACTGTGTCTGTGGTCTTCTATTTTCTCACAATGTTTCTCACAGTGGAGACTGAAAGCTGAAATCTCTGAGATGGCTTTCTGTATCCTTCCCCTAAACCATGACGGTGAACAATCTTTGTTTTCAGCTCATTTGAAAGTTGTTTTCAGACTCCCATGCTGCCACTCTTCAGAAAAGATGCAAAGAGGAGAAAAACTTACTATTGCCCCCCTTAAACACCTTTCTCATAATTGGAGTCACCTGTGTATGGAGGTCAAGGGTCACTGAACTTACCAAACCAAATTTGAGTTTCAATAATTAGTTCTAAAGGTTTTGAAAATCAATAAAATGACAACAGTGCCCAAATTTATGCATCTGCCTAATTTTGTTTAAGCAATTGTTGCACATTTTCTGTAAATCATATAAATTTCATTTCACTTCTCAAATATCACTGTGTTTGTCCCCTATATGATATATTGAATTGATATTTTTAATCCAAACAATCAATGATTTGTAAAGGTAAATCAGYAAAATTAACAAGGGTGCCCAAACGTTTTCATATGACTGTATGTCCAACACAAAATGAGAGTCTTACCCACACAAATAATCACTAGCACTGCATCTAGTACCACACAAAGTTGCTTCCACCCAGTCAGCAACATTCACAGTGATCCAACAAAATTGGGTAGACCTCAACACTCTTAAGATTTTAGATGCAGAGAAATGGCTAACCACAAGTCAAACTCACATGCTACTGAACATTCAGATATAGTCCTCATGACACTCAACTCAAGGTTTTTCAAACGATCATCTGAGAGCAATAAACCAGATCGCAACTCAAGAGGACTTTGACAAAATTGTAGCAGGAAAATATCAAAGTGACAAGTGCTGCTAATAACTCTGCCTCAATTGTTCCTCTTAGCATGTTTACTGCAAACTTGAAATGCTCGGCCACTAACAGCAACTGATCTGTTGTGCATCTACACAAGACTTCTAATGTGGGCACCTTCAAAAACTCATCCAGGTCAAACTCCATGTCCAAACTACAGAACCAAGCCCCACAAAAAAAGCCAATGCACAAAAAGCTACAAAAACCTGACAAAAAGTTCCACTGAACTCCTCAGCTCACTCAAACTCAGACCATTGTCTTAAAAAAATTACCATTAACCAAAACAATCTGGAAAAAAGCAAAAATATTAGTAAAAATGTGCCCGAAGCACATAACAGGAGACCAAAGCGGTTAGTTAGAAGTGATCACTGCAGTTTGTGAAGCAAGGGCGTAACAATGGGTAAAAGACATTTATTTACTACKGATATTTCTAAATTTAGCACYAATGTAAGGAAATTTGTGTTTGGTAGATTATTTCTTTCTTGTAACAATGCTTCTTGGCAATAAATCTTATATTGTTGGAAAACCTGTTAATTTTCTTTTTTAAAAGGTGCCACATTTGTAAGGAACATGCATTTGTTGGATAAGCAGTTGAGCTGAGTAAATCTTCCCTGCCAGTGACCTGATTGGTGTTTGGTGGGCTGGATGACTGCAGTTTGAAGACAGTCGTATTGGCAATTTAATAAGTTATTTAATAAAGGGCCTAAGTAGCTTGTGGAAGAACCATTCAAAGCCACAACAGCTGCATCCTCATGCTGTTCACCAGGCTGGTCACACAATGGTTAAAGAATGGGATGTCATTCCACACCAGTCAGCCAACGAGGGTCATGTTGGTCACTCTGGCACGAACAGCACACCCAAGCTGTTCCACATTTGTTCAGTGGGGGCTGCTGGCAGGCCATTTCATCCTCTCCACTCCCAAATTCTGGAGGTAGTCCTTAATAAACCACACTGTGTGGGGGCAAGCGTTGTCATCTTGAAGGATAGAGTGTGCCACTGCTTGCAGAATTCTCTCAACTAAAAACAGCCATCATTCTAGCATTATTCACAAAATGTAATTTTAAAAATTGTATTTCATCAGAAAAAAGGGGGGACACTTAACAGGATAGTATTTAAGGGTAAACTATAGTTGCTTTTCCCAATTTGTCATCTTCACGCTAAGCTAAGTTAAAATGCTGCTAGCAGAAGCCTCAAATTTTACACAAATTTATCATTTGTCTTATTTAACTCTTCACAGGACATCCAACATGTTGTGTAGATCTGTAAATCTTTACTTTTAGACACACAATTGAAAAAGAGAATTTAAGAGCAAAGTGTTTGTGTTAAGGTTGCTGCCCATGGGGTCCTTTGGTTGATTCACATGTTACGCCCTTGCTATGACTGAAATGATTAAATGTGCTCATTAAAATGGTTCCAGATGAATGAAGTAAAATCACATTCATTGTGATGGCTCCCGTGAAGATTAATACCATGGTGACAGCCTCAAAATCTTGATTCTCAGTCGTCTGTGTCATTGGTTTTTGTGGATTAGAAAAGCTTGAACAAATAATCATACATACAATGTAGGAATCAAGGGAAGCCATTCTGTTGACAGCAGCTGACACGCTGTACAAAAACTGTAAGCCAGAGCAACACGGTTTGTCAAATTCAACCTGAAAGCCCAATTTTGTTTCAGAGAACAGATATAACCTAATGGTAGTGGCAGAAGGCATGTACCTGAGCTTCAAGCAGTGGTCTCGTCTCTTCAATGGTAATAGAGACATCTTTAGGAGGTGAAGCCATCATCAGAGCCACTGTTCAATAAAAACAATATATTTTAGAAGTGCAAAATTATTTATAGAGATGTTTTTCAGTATCAACACTCACTCTTGGAGGCCCTAGCCCCCTCTGAAACGATGACATGCGGGTCACATCTGAACTCCTCCAGAGATGTGATGGTGCACTGACCCACCACCGGTTTCCTGCCGAATGGACGGTGGTCAATCACCTTCAGCACGATGGGAGGGGTGTACATCTCATCCTTTGGAAGGAGCTGAATGGAGAGTAAAAGACAAAGTTAAACTTTTAGAAAAATCACAAGATTTCACAAATAGCAACTTTCTGATTATTATATAGTCTTACATAATTTCACAAGTCAAACTTAAGGCCTGCAGGCCAAATGTGGCCCGCCATGGCATTTTATTTGGCGCGTGAGAGCCTCAAAGGTGTATTAACGTCTCAAAATAAGCYTATGCCACTTTAAACCCAGAATTGACCATGTGATGGAACTAATACTTTTAGTTTTAAAAATTTCACATTTATTCAGTCGTACAAATTACTTTTCAGCATTTATAAGAATACATGTTAAAATGCTGTTTCTKTGCATAAAATACCACATAGAGCTCAGGTGTTTGTTAGCAGTGCACAGTATACCTGTGAGATGAACAGCGTGACGTTTGTAGTTGAAGTTAAACACAAAACATCAACGTTAATTACAACTGGCCATTTGAGGGCAWCCATAATGCTCACGTGGCCATCTGTGAAATGAGTTTGACACCCCTGCTTTATTAGACAAGTTGATTTCTTCAGTTCAGTTCAGTTCCTGTACCTACTGTATAGCTCCCTCCTTCTTGGACATTTTGCTTAATTCCACCACAAACCCAGCAGCTTGTTAAACTTTTATTACCACTTGGATGTAGAGGACAGAGCTGGGGAAGTTGGGGCTCTTTTTCATGTTCTTGATGACCGCCGACTCCACTCTCTGACCCCCACACTCCACCACAAGGCTAGGGGAAGTCACTGAGGCCAGCTGAAAGGGCTTCATGTTCCTCAGACCCCATGTTAGAATCTGAAAATAATGCGCAAACACAGAGGAGCTGGTCAGAACAGATTAGATGTAGATCAAGTAGCATGTAAGGTTGATGCGTACCTCCACAGCCGTGAGCTGCACCACAGGCCGAATGCCCTGAGGAACCATGTAGAGGTTCTCAGCTCTCTTTGATGGTAGCAGGGGAAGTTCTGACTCACCTGACTYCAAAGACAGAAAGGTTTGAATGAAATTTCTGACTAAATAATGAAGGAAAACATATTGTGCCTACAAGACTACACCTTACAGTTCTATCAAAATAATCYTAGTCATTGACATGTATGCACTGCAGTCATGAGACGACAAAATAGTGCCAGAGAGGCAGGGGACCTAGAGAAAGCTTAGGGGATAAACCACACCAAACTTTCAGGAGGTTTACAATGTTTTCATATATAAAAAAGGTATTTGAACATACCCAGTGAACTGCAAAGATTAGTGGCACCCCTGCAGATGGGTGGCAACTGATGTCCACAGCATTATTTCTGTACTTCTTGTAAAAACCCTCCCCCCTATATGCTAGAGTAGCAGAAGTGTTGAAATACATTTACTGAAAGTGAGTCAAATTGTGATAGTGGTGACTTGATGCCCATARAAGTTTTGGGCACATTTCAAGTATTTTTACAAGTAGCTACTCATATAATGCTCCATTACTCAGAACAAATACAAATACCACTATAGATACCAGTGTAGATGATCCTTTGAATTTGTTACAATTTCCATTTCAAGTCAAAATTGTCAGTTCTATGTTTAAGAAATTCATAAAAGTTTCTTTGTTCTATTTATTTATTTATTTATGTTATTCCACTCAATCACACCACCAGCTGTCACTGGTTTTACCAACCCATTTTTAATCTGGTGTTTAGGTATGAAAATAATCAATTAACCATCAAAATAGTGCCTAAATAACAAAAACATGAGATCCACTTAGAGTTACAGTATATATTAGGACAATACATTTTTCAGTGAAGTGCTTCAGAGTTTATGAAAAACAAAAAGACATCTTTCTTTACTTTTACTGCCAACCTTGCTTTTAAGTATGAGTTCGGCAGCTACCAGTGCCTCCCCAGCCTTCTGGCCCTTCTGGATGATGGGACGCCACAGCAGCCTCGGCGTCTCATCCTCACCAGGATTCAGCTTCACCAATGGGCTGCAAACACTGCGGCCAAGCATTTCATCCTTCCCCTGCACAGATGATCACATGCTACTTGGGATTTTCGTCAGCCTTTCCCAGGCTYTGTAACAAATAAGTGTAAAATTAAATTTAGCGTTCGTTGACGTGTTTGGTTGGGTAGAATACATCACTTATAAAAGAATATAAAGAACAACATTCACAAGCTGAGGGGATGTTCTTACAGAGAAGTACTGTACACCATCACATACTAAAAACATGATTACTGATCTATATTTATTCATTAATCTTCCACAGCCTACCACTTGGTCACTGTCGTAGAACTCCAGCACCACATCGGGGGGACCATTGGCAAGGCTCTGGGGGTCTCCATAAATCTCAATGTCATTGAAAATCAGAGTTTGGTCCCAAGTTGGGTTCAGTGTTGCTTTGAGCTTCTCTGTTGTCTTACTAAGATGAAGGAAGGAGACGTGTGCATATGGATCTGTAACAGATGAAAAGTTAATCAACTGTAAACAAATTTTCACTGAAAATTTTAGAATTTATGTTAAAAGCTAAGCTTTTTGTTGGTTTTAAGCAGGTAAAAATCATACCAGAAAAACTATCTTTGTCCATAGACCTCAGGTTCCTTGCCTGATAGACGTACACACGAAGGTGGTACACATATGATCCTACAAAAGGAAAATAATTAATACTGAGCAAAATTAAATTCCATCAGCGTCCACTTTGTGGTACTCACTGTCAAAGGAGCAGGACACCGTGGGCGTGTTGGCCCCAAACAACTTGGTGGCATCGACCTTTTCTTTCTCCTCTGTATCAATACCCTGCAGACCACAGAAACCTAATGCTGAGAATGTGGATGTGTTTAAAATATTTGCAAATCTTCAGCGGCTCACTGAGCTCAGTCAGTTCCTGCCACTAAGACATTTCTTCCCCATCTACCAAGAAATGCTCGACTCTGAATTCTATTTACAAACCAGAAAGAGCTGAGTGCTTTGTGAGAGCACARCCAGATTTGGACAGTTTTTGTTCATTTTACTCACCAGTGCCCCCTCCAGCTGGAAGATGGCACATGCTCCCAGGCGATCTTCGGGCGCCATCTTTCGCCTCCAGCGCCTTCGACGAAACGTGTCTGAGGAACGTTCGTTTCTGTGGAACTTCCAGCCAATGAGGGAGGAGAACTCCCAGCCCTCTGGGTCACCCCGATCTTTCCTCTGAGTGTAAAAAATAAACATTTAATGTCATTTAATGGAACTGTGAATAAATTAAAAAAAATCAACAAAATATGGGCTCTTTGAGTGAATTACTCAAAGAAATAATTACTTATTATAAAATGAGAGTATGTGCCAACCTCAATGGTTGCCCCTCCAGGAGCTCTCTTCCGGGGTCGAACCAGCCTCCTCCTGCGGTGGACATGGTACACCTTCTCTGCAGGCACCCAGGATCGAGGCTTGTCATCTGGAGGGATGGTCACGCCGTACTCCCAGCCTTTAGAGAGCAACCACACAGAGACAAAGGGACAGTTAGTCCTAAATTTATTGGAGTCTGGAAGAAGACTTATGGAACTACAGCACATGAGGCAACTTTCAGCTGTTCATTGAATTTTGCACCTTGATCGTCCACAGCTCTGTTGACATCCACTGTCCAGTCATCCTGCCATGTCCAACCTGGAGGACAGTCAAACTCTGTCGGGTTACGACTCTTCTCTCCATTCTGTGTAATATTAAAATCAAACAGATATGCATTCTTGTTCCTCGCACATAAAAGGCAAACTGTTCAGATCCATTTACTACTCAAAARGGGTGTGTATTTCTGTTTATCAGAGACAAGAAGATCTTGATTGCGTCTGATCATTTGCAACATCGCTGCCTGCTGGTCTCACCACGTCAGTGAACGGCTCAGAGGCGGCCTTCCACTCTCCGCCGGGGAAACGGCTCTCGTTCTGGAAAACCTCGTCCATAAATTCAGTGTGTCCTGCATCTGCCTCGGTTAGGAGCCTGAAACAAAGTCCAAAAAACTTGAAGCAACTAAAGGAGACAATAAATAACATTCACTTTGATCACAGTTCTGTGTCCCTCTATTGGTGTAAAACAAATATACGATGACGGAGATAGAAGCGTTTGCATGTTCATAAACTCTACACATAGTAAAATCAAGCAGTCAAAACAAGCCTTCTTATTACGCTTTAAATTTTTCTCTTTATGATTTCTTGAAGAAACCAATTAATAAACAACCACAATTCCAAAAAAGATGGGACATTGTGGTACGTGTCTTTTTTATTCATTTATTTATTTTTGGTTGTAAAATTAGCCTATTTCTTGTTTTTTGGATTTTTTTTATCCTTATTCAGCTTTTCCTTCTACATTTGTTGCCTGAGCAGATTGATCTACACTAGTTACTGGTTGGGAAACAAAAACAAAAAGTGTTTTAAGAATGATGGATAGCAAACCTGTGCTTAGACGACCTAAGTCCAGTGCAGGGAGTGCAAAGATAGATTATTCTTAAGCTGACAGATATGGATTACTGAGTAAAAAAAGAAATTCCAGCTGACTCAAACAGTCCATTACAGACATTAAAACTTGGTCAATGGAATGAGAAAAATGTAAACGGAAAAAAACACAGAGCCCTTAAAGCTGTTTCAGCAGTGGGTGGGAGGCACTACTCAGTGCAATGAGTGTAAAAATCTAAACTTTGTRCTCATTTGGTCTGTCTTTTTCTTCAGATGACAGCTGATTATATCCAYTTACACTCACGCTTTCTCTGGGTCGATGAACCAGTCAGACTCCCACTCCCATCCTCTGGGTGGTATGAAATACTCCTGCTTCAGCTTCAGTTTYCCCGTCACATCTGAGAATTTGTGGCGTCCCACCAGACCTGTGGTCCCCCACTTTCCAAAGACTTTTGCCTGGTTCTCGTACTGTAAGAGGTTGATACTAATGTGAGTTAACTGAATAGTAAACATTTATTTTATGTCAGTATCACCATAAAACTTTGTGAATACAAATGTTAGTATTATTCGTTTGGTGAGAAAGTGATTTACRAGCTCAGCAAACACACTGAAGGTTCCCTCAGAGAAAGCGTTGAACTTTTTCTCATGTGCAGAGAGGCCGAGCCACATGTTGACTCTGATCAGAACTGGCACCTTCAAGCCTTTGGTCTTGTCCATGGGGTACTGTGGGGTTCAAGACGCATTGTGAAGAAGAATCTAATGCACTTCTAAAAGTCTTTCCTTTCCTGTGATTTTTGTTTTGTTTTGTTTTTACCTGTAAAAAGATGGTCTGAGTCTTGCCACAGTGTTGCCCACAGGCCTGCTCACTGTATGTGGAGAACAGAATCTGGTGAGCTGGAACACGACTGTAGGCCACCCTTTTCTCACCGCGAAGCATCCAGATGATCACGTCAGGCATGCTGTTCTGAGGCTGGGAAAAGTGAGGATATTCTCATTTAAATAAAAAGTGCATCCTGCCATAAACATAACATTTCTTTCACTGAAAAAGTCTTCAATGATCTGTTAATAATGATCTGATATATGTTTGTACCTCTTCAGCCAGCTGTTGGAGTTTCTCCACCCAGCTTTCAATGTCCGACAGCGTGTCTGGGATCTCTCTGGCCTCTTCTCTCATCCTCCTGGCTGATTCCATGATAGAGGTCAAAGCGCTGTCTCGCAGTTTCTTGATTTGGATGTCCAAAGTCGTCAGATTGGAGCAGCCCTCCAGCTTAGGTGTTGGAAAACTTAAGGGTAAAACAAGGAAAACACACAATCTTACTGTGGTCAAAATTAAAAACACCATTGGCACCATTTAAAGATCATGGGAGATGATAATTTTGCCTGTGTCTGTGTTGGCAAAATATATTGTGAACTACTAGACATTATACTAAAACTCTCAAAGGAATTGTTCCTTGTGCGTGTAGAGCCAACTGATCCCATACAAAAACAAATGGCTAAAGATCAGTATACTTGTTGAATACTGAGGTAAAAATTTGGTGCAGCAGTAGCTGAGAATACCCCCAACACAAATTGAGCGCTAAACAAAGGAGAGATTATGATTTGTCAAATTCAAGGTCGGCAATTTGTGTCCAGCAAGAGCTTTAACAATACCTGCCATYGTAAATTATTGTTGTGTAAATTTATGTTSGCATCAAACAAGTAGGCCGTTGTGTTACACTGCTTGACTGAAGTAGCCCTCCCAGTCTCAAAAAGGTTGGTGACCCCTGCTCTACCACGTAAAGCCATAAGCAACAGAAACGATGCTAAACAGCTCAGCGACACTTCCTTCATTTACCTTTCCAGGTCTTCAATCAGCATATTGAGCAACTTCAGCCACACCTCTGCAAGTTGGTTGTCAGAGACTTTTGCCAACATGGCAGTTTTAAATGCCTTCAGGTTTGATTGCTAAAAACGAAAAGCAAACAAAACAAGACTGAGGGTTACGATTGCATCTGGCAACTTCTCATTCAGACACAAGTATGAAGTATAACAAGCCTGCAGCAGACGCTAACGATGCACTACAGTCGTTTTTAGGATTACAAGTGATAGCAGTGCAGTTTTACCAGGCGGTGAGTGATGTAGAGGATAATGTTGACAGAATTCAGGCGGTGGCTGATGTCTTCCCAGAATGACGTAACCACAACCACCGGCTTAGTGTTTGCCCAGGGCAGGTAGTAATACTGGTTACCTGGAACACGCAACTAGTTAAAGCGAAGATCTGTTCAAGGGCATTTTTAAAACACTGATCTCATTACTCACCATCAAAAACAGCACAGCTGTACTGAGTGGTGGAGGCCAGGGGTTTGCACGTGGTGTCCAGTTTGTTGCCATAATTACCAATGCTGACCTCAAACTGGATTGGTTCGCCGGGCTCCTGGATCATGGAAGCGCTGTGGAAAACTGCACACAGGCAGTATTTCCTCCTCCGTTGGTACTTCTGAAAGAGGGGAGAAAACGAAGACCTTCTCAAGTCTAGTTTTACCTTATTACCTAAAATTAAGCCTTCATCTAGGAATCCCAYTCTTGGATTAAAAGTCACTGTACCTGCACCACCAGGATGTCATCACTGGGGATAGTTTCTACAGTTTTGTCTACTTTCCCCTCTAACTTAGTGGACAGCTCCACCAGAATCCTGCCCCTGTAGGCCACGCCTTCTCCCTGTACAGAAACAAAASATTGACTTAAATCCAAAAACAAAACCCCACCCCCTAAGAAAAGCAGTTGAAGATGATAATATAAGATAATTATCAGGTTAGACTACCTCGCCAAAATTCAGYTTCTCATAGGGGTCTGGCAGGCCGCTGAACTCTCTGGGGCTTCCATAAAGGTTAATATAGCAGGGTCCAAACACAGGCAGGAATCCCACCTCAGATTCCCCCGAGGTAGCTGGAGGGATGATGCAGAGTTAAACTTTTCATCAACATATTTAATGGAAAGCTYTCATTCAAGCTTGCTGTATTTATGAGGACTTTGTTAATGTTGAGAAAAGCGGGTGAAAGCGATGACGACGGCACAAGTGATGTAAGTTAAACATTTAAATCTTGTCAAAACAGGACAAAGTGGGGCTGTATTAAAAACAAACAAATGGAATTTGGAATTTCAGCATGCACAGCATGTTTATAATGTGTTACATCGCATGCAAAACAGAGCAAAAAAAAGGAGCTCGGGTGAACCTTCATATGGCGATATTTCCGCATTTCTGGCATGTTCTTCTATTTCAAAAAAGGGAAAAAAATAAGACGTTGCACCTTTTAGAAATTACACAGACAAACTGAAACCTTTGCTCTGAACTTTTCACATAAATTCTACACTAAATTGTACTRGATTTATAGCCAATTTAAAAACATTTTACCTTCCACTTCTCCACCAGAGGAGGCTATCTGGGCCAGGTTCAGGTATGTGGTGCCAACAGCATCATTTCCTGTAAGACGATCCCTGAAACCACACAGATTTTCTTTAACCACAGCCCTGCACTCCTGAAACCAACCTTGCTGGCATGTAAAAATATTGTGAAAAGTAAATCACTAAAACATTTCTTGTGACAACACAAGAGGTCCATTATATGCAACAATAGTCTCCTTTTTTGTTGCTTTTAGTTTGATAGGAAGTCTGTTGGCTTCAGATTTAACTGTTATCAACATTTGCCTAACATTTTCCTCTTGCCCTTACTTCCCTCTGGTCTTCCTGAGCCAGTGCTATCTGACCGCTCATGTTCAGAAATACAGACAGTGATGAAAATCATACCACTGTGCCAACAGAGTATGTTATTAAAGGGAAAGGGCGGGGCTGCCATGGTTTGAGTCACTGTGCCATGTCACTTGTGCGTGGTTAGTGTTAGGCAGTGATGTGCACACACAAAGAATCATGCAGAAAAACTGTGGTGGATTTTCTCAATGTAAATGACTCCATAACGCAGCTATATCCTCAACATAAAAAAAATAAATAGTGATTTACCAATCGAAGACTGTCAATTTGACACGCTCACACATGGATGGGAACTATAGTAAATACAAGAAATGTGTCAAACAACAAACAATTAAAACAATAAAAACAGATTTGTCACTGCAGCTTTACAATCAAGGCTTATTACTTTGACTTGGAGGTTCAAAACTTGATTCCACTCTGGATTTGCATTCTTCTCAATGATCTGAGTGCACAACTGGAGAGAGAGAGAGAGAGGGGAAAAAACTGCATCAGCTTTCTCACTACATTGTTGCAATATCGAAAAGTTGCATTTTTGTCAAGTGAAAGGAGCTGCAACCTTTTTGCCAGCAAATCGAGCTTCTAGAAACGGATCCACCAGGTTCTTCTTGCTTTCATCTCCTCCAAAAATCCCTTTTAAASTTTGAACAAATGCGTCGTCCACTGAAAAGAGACGACAGTGAGGGAAATGGCAGTTCACCGGATTTACAGTCATAATCTGAAAACTGAAAAGTCTTTTCCTACTCTGTGGAATGTCCTCAGCTCTGAAGACCTTTAGTGATAGAGTTGCCCACCGCAYTGTTACACCTGCTGGCAGCAGCAGATTGCTCTCGATGTCATCCTGGTCATCATTAGACTCCCTCTTTTCCACCTATAAAAAGATTGAATAAGAAACAAATCCAGCGTATTTAAGAGAGGGAACAAAATGCAGCATCAGCATAAATGAAGGAAAAGCTGTAGTCGTACCGGAGGCTCATCTCCTGTCCCAACGACGAAGAGGCTGACTTTGAGGTAGCCTTTAGCTCCAGAGCTGGAGTCATCCGGGTCGTTTAACAAGAGCCACTTCCTCATAACGCAGTGGGCTGAAATTGAACCAAATATATTTAATGATTATCTAATTAAAAAGACACAAAAAAGCACCCACACATAATGTCTACTAATAAAAAATACTGAAAAAAATTTGGAAAAAATAATCACATTTTGTTAGAAAACTTAATACATTTATAAAGTCCCAACTTGAATCTAATGCATGTCAGTTTTCTCTTTAATTATTATTTGCCTGTTGCACTAAGTTTTCAACAAAACACCACAAATGTTTTTGTAGCTGGTTAGCTAACTGCTGTTAAGTAACAAAAAACTAAGTGACAGCTATTAGCTAAAAAGGAATAAGCATTACTCAATGTCAACTATGTTTTTTAAATGACTTTTGGAACTTTTTGAATAAATTACTCTTTAGTTCAGCTCGTTAGCAATACAGTATGTACACATTTGAAAGAGGTTTTCAGTAGACTTTTTTAAATTGCATCTTCAGCTGAGACATCTTTAGTGTTGGACAAAATGTATATAAGTTGGTGTAAGATGTCTTAAAGTTATAGTGTTTTGTCCCCATTACTCCCTGAGAGAAACATGTACTCCTATGGAAACTAGCATTTATTCTACACCATGTTTACTCTGTGGCAGCCATGTTTTGATTTATTTTTTTTGTCATGACTATTGACTATTGTAAATTTATGTATTTATGGCTTTATAGCTTCCAAATTTTAATACCTGCTTGCAAAAGACAATTAAATCATTCAAAAGGGAACCAGTGAAGAAGAGGGACTACAGGTGGAAATAGGCACCTAAAGCTGTAACCTGATACAGTGCATCTTTCCTTTCATGGCGATGTATACTGTATATTGCAATATAAATATTTATATCTAAAGAAAATAAGTCAATAAAATGCAAAAAATATATTAAATAAATAAAAAATTCCTAATCAAAACTTTAAACAAGTCAGCCAGTCTGTTGGTTTGTCATTGAGTCAAACTTTATAAAAGCAAACAAAGAAAAAAATCATTCTAAAATATAAAAAAATAGTGAATAACGTCTTTTTATCAGTTATAGAAATGCTGAATCAGTCAAACACAAATATTGACTGGGCCTCTTGTTGAATCCCTATATCAGAGGTAATCAATTATGGCCCTCGAGGTCCACAGCCCTGCATGCCCCCCCCCCTTCTCTAACACACCTGATTCAGTCAGTGAATAACCTCTTTCAAGTTCTGCAGAAGCCTCAAAATCATCCATTCATTCAAATCAGGTGTGTTGGAGAAGAGAAACAAGTAAAACGTGCAGGGCTGAGGACCTCGAGGACCAGAATTGACCGTCCCTGCTCTATATGCTGGTAACTTGTGTATTGAGCAAAAGGAAATGACTCTTGATGCAAAGCTTACCTGGTTCATCATAGACAAAACCCACATCCAGCTGTGTGAATAAACAACAACAACAGATGAACATCAGACACCCTTCTTTTAAATATTTCAGTTTGGTGGAAATTGAACCATTTACCTTAAATTCACCCATAAGACTGTCAGCTCTCAATGAATATGAGTTGTATACCTGAAAATGAAAAAGGGTAAAACAAGTCAAACTTACTACCAGAGCTAACAAACACAGAAAACCACTACATTTACATGCACCAGTCTTACCCGGAAACTGATGTTCTGCTCAAACAAATCTGTTGGCAGCATGTGGACATTATAGAAGAACATCTGTAAAATAAATACATGCTTCATACGTTCAGAATGACGTCTGAAATGTTTTTTTTGCTTGTGTCTMTAGATGGCATTACCTCATCAAAAAAAGGATTGTTTCCCTTCTTGATTCTTGTCCTGTGGGTCTCTCCGCCCACACTGACCTTCACCACAGGTTTGACGTTGTTACCGGACAGCTGACGGGCCTCGATGATTCGAACACGAATCTAAAAAATACCATTAATAAAACAACAACAAAGTTATATTAGTTATCTTTAGAGGATAAATCGTTTTCATTAATGCAGCTCACAACTTGCTTCTGTAAGTAAAGCCCAAAAAATAAGAAAAGTCTTTAGGGATTTACAGTGTTATTTACTGGACACACGCATCAAATTTTTTTAAAAATTACACCACATATTATCAAAAGTCTATTTTTTGATAAGCAAAAGTTCACTTCTTGATGAAARGGTCAGAAGATTTGTGTTCTTGTAAATTATGCAAAAAGATAATTCTAAGACAGCAAAACTAGTTTCTGAGACAAAGGGTTTCTGAATTTTACCACAAAAATAATCACACTTAATGATAACTGAATAAAAGGAAAGAAAGAATCTTAAGTTTCTTGTCTTTCATATAATCATCTTTAAAGTCTGCAGGTTTAAATGCACRGAAAAGAATCATTTCCACAGCAAGTGCTTATTTGGCAAGACATCAAAATGTATTGATTTTTTTTTTATTAAGACAGGGAATGGAGTTCACTTGTAATTAAATGCAAACATCTCCCACTCTCCATGACCATGGGGAGGAAGCAACACCTCTGATGTTTTATAGAGGATGACTTTGTCTGCAGTAGAGATGCAAAATTCACGAATGATCCGAATCTTTTGAACGGCTTTTTACAACCAACGATAGGAATCGAGTCATGGGCGCTGTGGAGTACAGAAGCTCAAGGGGAAAGAGGTTTCTGCTTAACAAAACACATTGTTCCACCTATTTAACATGATGGCATATTTCCCTACGTGATGACGGAACTTGTTTGAAATCAAACGTTTCGTTTGAACGGCTCTATGAAACAAACGGCTCCTCAAGATCCAGATCCCTTCAAAAAGCCATTTATCCTGTCTACAGTCAAGCATTTTGTCAGAAACAAATGTGTTTTGGGGCTTCAACACATTTAGATTTTCATTTTTSTGACTTACTAAAAGTTTAAAAACATTTCTGGCCCTAATCCTCTCTGATGGCGGCTCATTCTTGTCTTGTTTATGATCAGCTGCTAACACTATTCTATCCTTTGCTTATAAACCTGATAGTTTGTTGTCCATAAGTCCAAAATATTAAAGTTCTGAGCTTTGAGCCAGTCGTCCTGAGACACGGTGCGTCATCATGCTGGAAAGTACGTTTGTCAGTAAGCACACACATGGGTTTTATCCAAATGCTTTGATGTTGGCACAACAATCATGCCAGTACTAACCTCGTCTTCTCCAGGGGATTTKCCTCAATCTAAAAAAAAGAGGTTTCAGTAAAGAAAATCACTTTACACCAGACTCCTGATGTCCATTTCCTGTGCCTCCCTCCTGCAGATCTTTGTTTTTTGTTTTTTTTTACAGAAGCAGCTCATTTGCAGTCCTAAAGGTTTTCACCTTTCTGTGTCCAGATGTTCTCACAACACATTTTGTAGCAAACCCTTTGGAAAAAAGTGTTCCCGTTGAATGTCCTGATAAATACTTCAAGTTTTAATTTGAAGTTTTGGAAAACTGTACTTTTAAGTGCAATACTGCTAGCAGCATTTTTTTTAACTACAAGATCATTATGATGCAAGTGACAGTTACATGCTATTATTTGGAGGAAAGCATTAATAATTTCAAGCACATTTGTCTCTTTTATAGCCGTATAGTCCGTTTTAATTCATTGATTTTTTTTAACCTTAAAATTTCACCTCTGTTTATTATTACACAACTACATTGAAATGTAATTAGCTTTGTGTCATGGCTAAAACACAGTGAAATAAAAACAAAATGCATCCAAACATTTTGTATTTTTAGATCAATGTGTAAACTGTCATGTCAAACTGAAGCTGCACAGTTTGTAAAACCTTTGTGTCCCTGTTAAAACGATCAGATTAAATAAGTGACAATGAAAGACAAACTGTTTAAAAGGATTGGACAAAGTTCTTGAATAAACATTTGCATTTTATATTTAAAGCAGCCTGAAATTCCTTAAAAGCCTTAACATTTTTTTATTTTTTGTAAGGATGTCAAACAACCAGAGGAAGTCATCTGACACTGTAGTTTTCAAAATAAAAGCCCCCTGTAGCATCTGAAATTATTTGAAGGCAGAAATCACTGTTTTTGCCCACCAGAGGAACTATAAATGAAGTAATATAAATATTAAATTAAAATAAATATCCTAGAAACATGTYCATTAGGTTGCAGTCAGGCCCAGGCCTCCCTTGAGAAAGATCTGCAATCTCAGCGGGATTTGCCTGGTTAAACTACGGTAAAATAAAATAAAAATAAAGACTGACCTGAAAGTCCTGAGGTTTGTTTACGAGTCTGTGGCGACTCTGTGCTCTGGCCAGCTTCTGGCGGAGACCCGGCTGACCAGAGGCTGTGGCGGTTCCTGAGGAGCCACTTTGAGCCCCATCAAGTAGAGTCTCGCCTCCTTCTTCCCCACCACCTCCTCCTCCTCCTAACCACCAGAAAGACAAGTTCATCGGTAATTAATAATGTGAGTTACATTCAACATGATCAGTAAATGTCACATGTACAGTAGTTCTTTATAAACATACCAGCATCAACTGTAGCATCTCCACCTTGCGGGTCATTGGGGTTTGGTAAGGCACTGGCTGGTGGGTCATAGGCAACCACAAGATTGATTGTAGCCTAGAATGAAATCATTGCTTTTCTTCAGAAAGCTTTTTCTTTTTTTAAAAAAAATTGTTTCAGTTAACTAGACTTACGCCAATATTCTGTCCACTTTCATCGACCAAAGGAACATTTTTAAAAGGCAAAGATTTCACTTGACCCGAAGCAAGGTCTCTCAGGGGGATTTTGGTGGACCCAAGAAATCTAAAAACACAAACCAGAACAGATGACATTTGTTAAATCTTTAAAATATGAGCACACTGTTGAACAAGGGACCATTTTCCGCTGGTTTCCTGATTTAATTGGACGAAAAGCATGCTCCAACATTTACAGTCTGTCAACATATCTGTACGCAGATTAAAGATGGGAATATGATGCTGCGTGTGTGCACAAATGAAGTGGCATTCACAAAAAGAAGGTAACCACCCAGAGCTAACATGCCCTGCCTGCACAGACAAACAAAACACACCCGTTAAAAGCAGCAGAAACTACTTGAGATTGCATATATTGCGATGAAAAATGGGCATGAACATTTTTCACTTAATCAGATGTGAACGAGTCAAGAGTGAGGCCTGTAAACCTGACCGTACAACATTTTCCTGATTTATTTCATGTGGTCAAATTATTTTGCATTAAATGTGTAAAACTCCAGCATGCTGCTGTCAAGTCTATTTATGCAACAGTCAAAATGTACWGCATGCAAGCTGTTTTTCCCTTCAATTATTTTGAGACAAATCTCACAATGCATGGAATCTGTATTTGAAAACTCTCAGATTTCTCTAAATGATGTGATCATGCTTGATTTTCCCCTGGCACAACTGCACCTTTAGCAGTCTTTCCAATAATGTCCTTCACAAGTTCACTGCTTGTGGTCGATTGTCAGGACTGTTCTGGTGTGCAGCCAAAAATAGAATTGCTTAATATATAACATTTATGCACTGTTATTAATTAAACTGCAGTGGAGTTTATGTTTACCAAAGGGAGAAGTAGAGTCTGCAGCAGGCGGTCAACATGAACAGTCACTTAATAACGTMAAACATTTGAACCACCCTTACGGACAGGATGAGGTCCACGGCACTCTATCCAAAGGAAACTAATCTGTTACATTTAAATCATGTATCGTTTCAACAGGCTGAGTCATTTTATTTTGGCAGGTCTCCTGATGGGAGGAATGTTTGCAGAATAGAGTCACAGACAAAAAAATGTGACCCACCATCTGTGGAATTTATTTATTTTTTAAATAACTGGTGACCATAAGATAAGAATTAACAAAATATTTGTTGAACATTTCATTTCACARATTTAGAAATACATTTTTAAAAAATGGTAGCTGGTGCTTTTGTTTGTGTGTTAGAATATCTTATGACACAGAACAGATTTTAATGGTACATCTGATCACCTTTTGATGTCAACTCAAGATGGCTGTCGCAGGCAATTAGAATTTAGAAAAACAAAAATGGTCGACCCAGGCAGGTGTACAGATTAAAAAAGGTACAATTTGATGTGTTTGTAGCCAAGAGTCATCCCAAACACAAACTGAGATTTAAAAAGCTGCATGCCATGTCAATTTTATTTTTGTAAGTTTTGACAAAAGCAGTTACAGCTCTGTCTCTTCTCAATATAAAATAATGGTAATCTAAAACAGTGGTTCCCAAACTTTTTATCTTCTGACCCACAAAATATCCATGGCAAAAACTTGTGAACCCAAATATTACTGGTCTGAGTACACAAACTTCGTTAATA